TTCCTCCCGCACTCCAAAGACATGCATGGTAGGTTACTGGTGATTTTAAATTGGCTATAGGAGTGAAAGTAAGTGCGGTTGCCTCTGTCTTCGCATTAACCCTGTGATGGACTGGCAGCTTGTCCTGGGAGCTCCCCGCCTCTCACACAGTGTCAGCTGGGACAGGATCCAGGCCGATGCAACCCTGTGTCCGACAGGCCTGTTCAGTTGTAATGGAAATCAAAGTCATTTTCCTTGAATGCATAAACATAACGAGCCAATAAAGCTGTTTCTGATTAAAGTCTTTGAGATATTAAGTACTATGAAGTTCAAACAAACTGTGACACACCTTCTTCAATTTAGAGCTTTATTATGTGTGATTGTTGTCCCTGAATGGATCATAATGAAGGCAATCAGTCTAAATACAAGTGAGGTATTTTAATCTCTCTCTCTCTCTCTTTTTTTTTTTTTTTCTTAATAAAGAAATGCAGATGGGTGACAAATAGAGATTTTTTTTTTTTAAATCAGGGGAGAAAAATAGGCACAAATTCTTCCTTACAGAGCACAATTGCTTATGACTGCAGGTTCACAGCTGGTTTTAATGTGTGTAACTTAAATGCAATCAGACAAAATACCACCTTTAATTAAAGATAAACTGGGTCACATTTTCTGCCATTTAAGTTTAATGCAAGACTTTAAGTCAATTTGGTTTGTTTATGCAGCTCAGTCCTCTTATTAAAGCAGCATGTAACTTATCTAAGTGCTTTAATTCAATATAAGAATTCAAAAACTTATTTTCTAGTGTCTGTTGTTGTTAGAAGTACAGTGAATGCATGTGAAGAAATATTTCTCTCCCTCCAGAGCGGAAATATCCACAAAAAGTTATATTTTGACACTTACAGAAAATAAATGTTTTACCTATAAATAGCACTTAGAGACAGATCAAGAAAAATCACCTGCATAAAACATAATACACTAAAAACAAACACCCCCTTACTGGGCGACTGAACTTTGATTCAAGACCAATGTCTGTATACATCCTAAGTGGAATGCAGCCACAGTTAATAAACCTTTGCTTTCCTTACAATAGCAAGCCAAAATGTCGTGTGAAAGGTTTATTGCATGATTCTAAGTGTAATTTGTCATGTCCCATTAGGAAAGCAGGAAATCATTTCACTTAGCTGGAAAAAGATCACATCTGGATATCTTTGCTGCCATCTAGTGGAAACTGTAAGGAACGTTTGCTTTGCGTTAGAGGCCAAAATTCATTATAATCAGGTTGCTCTTCTCACTTCTCCTGCCTCCAGTGCTGCTATTTTTAGCAAATACACACCGGAAATTCCTCTTTTCTGATGGCTTTAGAGAAATGCCTCCTCTCACAGTTATCTAATTAAAGTTAAGCTCAAAGCAATACAGCAACCCCTCTGAAGAACTAAAACAGCCAGCTTATTAAGCAATGTTTAGCTTTAATTTCCTCTGGAACAACCAATGTTTTTAGAGTATTTACAAAAGGCGCTTTCATCGACAAATTGCTGTGTACGTGAACTCATTTTTCGTGATGTGTGGTACATTCTTTCTCTACGGCATCATGGTGACATAACTGGATCTGAGAAGAAAAACAGTATAGAAGTGAACAAGTTCATTCCCTTAACTGGGATGGGGTAGTTGTATGTTTTAGGTGTCATGGGTTACATTTAAGATGTTATCCCATTTTTAATATGGCTACAGTGTTAAGTGATATAACCTGATATTGTATGTTACATAAGTTGTATTATTTCAAAGTCAAAGCCTAAGGCATTTGAGTTTGTGTAGTCCTAAAACAAACAGATTAGATAGACTGAAATTAAAAACACAGGCCCAAAAGTGCAATCTCAGTGCAACAAAAGTGAGCACACATCATTGTGTCTAATGCAACATGGTCCCACACACTGACAAATTACAAGTAAAACAAGTAAAATAATATAATGTGAGGCTTTCTAAAGATGGCAGAGGGTACAATAGGATCAGTCTTTGAACATAAGGTGAAACACAGCTGCAGCAGTGGTTGGTGGCACAAGCATTACCAGCTTCAGTGGCTGCTCAGGCAGTACGAGGAACATTGTATGAAGTCAGACCCCATGGACAAAGCCCAACAAGAAAAGCGCTGCTCACAAAGTAGCACAAAACTGCAAGAAATATGTTTGGGAATAAAAAGGGAAAGCAGCCTGTTGAATACTTGAGTTTGTTACTGATAGACATTGAGAGTTTCAATGATCCCAAAGAAACTTTACACACAAAGCTTTTAACCACATAAAAAGCTGCGGCTTTGTCTTTATAAATGTGTGGATCAAAATCTTGTTGTACAGTGATTTCAACAACAACCTGTGCAAGGTGGAAGTGTAGGGAAACAATGAAAATTATGATATGGGCAAGTGTTTCTCCTGACTTGAAACCAAGAGGAGGCATTCAAAGTATTTTAAAGTGGAGGGGGGGCGACTAGCAGAATATCTTTGCACACTATCACCCCTGCCCAGAAGGATCCAATCTGTCATCAAACAGTAGAATGGAATCTCAGTAATGAAAGGTGCACACACTTTTGTTGTAATCGGATCTTACATATGGACCGTTCATTATAGTTTCAAAGTAGAGCAATCCATACTAATCCAATACACTTTTTGTCCAATTCCATAAATATTTCCTGACAGAAAATATTTAGTGACTCTGCAAATGAGAAACTGACCCACACAACACTATTGCAACCAACAACAGCAGGTGGAAGTTGTGTGAGGTCACAGGACTCCTCAGTGAACTGTTGCACATTTTCTGGAGAATAAAGTGTATTTCCAGGATTTTTAACAAACACTAGTAGATGGTTTTTGTGTAGCAGCAGCTCATAGAGCGGGTAGACGGCAGCAACCTCTCCTCCTTTCCCTTTTTTTAAGGGGAAGTGTTGAGCAAAAAGCTGGTTTATGCACCACCAGGCTTTGCTTCTTTGCTAGCAGACAAAAATGGAGTTCAAATATTTACACATTTTCTCAGCAATGGCTTACTCTACCTTTAATTGGTCAAACATTATGTTTTCAGTTTAATTGATATCATTCTTGGGCTTTGGCTGAAGACAAATAAATCTGGATTTAATTAAGGGTTCTAGTGATATTGAGCAGGTGTTTTGTATCACAGATGACTCTGTTACATGCATTTACGTAATAAATTTAGATAAAAACTTCACGAATGAACTGAAACAAATGCTACCAAAGACAAGCATCACAATAAAAGTATTTTTTTAACATAAACTTCATTAATTGTTCCCTCATCTAAAGAAAAAACTATAAAACTGCTGAGCACTAAAAAAGCTTGAACGCTTACAATGTGATGATGCAGTAAACTGAACTATCACAGAATGAAGTGATGGTTGGAGGTTAAATATGGTATCTTCAAGATTATACATATAATGTTGATATTTTCACTCAGCATGCTGCAGAGTTGGCCTACAGTAACCGGCATGAGCTCACTGATAAAGGAGACTGTGGCGCTGAATGTTCAACAAATATTTGGTTGAAGAAAGTTGGCAAGACTTGAACATTTTACTGTCACTGGCTAATCAACAGCTAATCAGTCTTGCATGTTGTTACGTTCTGATATTGCTTCAAGATGAACAGATAAACTGTCTGATGAGTGAAGGATGGAGGATACGTTGATTACGGCTAATCAAAGTTTCCCAGTTTGTTTCAGGTCTTATATTCAAAAAAAAGAAAAAAAAAAGGATTAGAGCAATAATTTGGCCCAAAATTACATTTGGAAAGTCACATCACAACCTTTGAAGTATCGACAGCTGGCACTAGAGTGTTTTTGGTGCATTTGGGTTTTCACTTGATTTAGATCCTAACTTTGACAGTTTTGAAGTTGAAGTTCTCCTGCATCTGACTGAAGACAGCTATCAACACCATATGTGAGAACTTATAAAAGGCCCTTCACGTCTATGATATGACTACAAACTGTTTTCATTTTTTCTTCGCCTGTTTGGTTCTATTCTTTGGAATGTGGAGCCAAGTGCAGACTCACAACCTAAGATCTAATTTGCCAGTATATTGGTTGATGAGGAGAACTGGTTGACACACATCAGAATAATATTTGAATAAAAGCAAAACTATAGACAGCCACCGTGTTTGTTAAGCTTCCATATTTGAGGAACTCCTGCTTTAGTCATGAACAACCTAAGTGGTGTACTACAAGCAAGTTTAACATAGCCAAGCTTTCTTAGTGTTAGCTGGCTAAGCAAAACCTAAAACCCAAAGCAGCGATAACGGGTATCATGATATTAGGTTATACCTTCTTTGATAACTCAGGTTTTCTTCACCAGGCTCTGTGGACATTCCTATGGAAGGAGACTTTTGATGCATGGTCAGTGTACAGCCTACTTCAGTTAAAACGAACAGTTGCAACATATTTTTTAAGGTGAACAGAGCTGCAAATGATGCAGAAGCAGAATGCTAGTAGAAAACTATTAATAGTATAAATTAATTCATTTATGTTACTACTGAGTACATGCTAAGTGCAGCCACTTTTTGTAATATGTGAGCTGCAAATTAGAGCTCTGAAATTCTAAATTTCATATAAACATGATACTCAGCAAGTGCATACCACACTAACCCATTATTCTTACTTTGCAGTACAATCCTCTGCTTTGTTTCGATGACAACTACCTACTTAGTCCATTCTATAGGTGTTTTAGCTGTTTAACTGTCTCAAAATTACAAATCCAAGGCAAAAACCAAAGCAACCAAAATACAAAACTTGTTGTACACAAGGCAAATATTTGCATGTAAATGAGCTTGCTACTGTAACATACACAGCATCCAACCTTCCACTGACCTTCCATGTTGCTCACAATATGAACACAGGGTTCACAACACTGTCTTATTCACTCAACAGCTTTCTGACCCAGCATGTAACATCTTGGCTCTTTCCCTTTAATATGGGTCCATTCCAAAAACAGCACCCTAGTCCATCCAGCTGATTAGCTGCTGGCTTCACCTGGATCTTCACACTGACTTCCTCCTCTTGCCAAACACATTGTTGATGAGCTTGGCCATAGACTTTGAGCCGCTGTAGCGCCGACGGTCAGCTCGGTACTTCAAGTGCTCCATCACCTGCCGAATGAGTTGTGTGAAGAGGTTGGCGATGTCCTGGTAGCTCTCGGCTGCCGACACCTCCTGGAAGTGACAACGGTTCTCCTGAGCCAGGCAGCGGCCTTCGTCCTCACGCACCTGCCGGACGTGGCACAGGTCCTGCTTGTTACCCACCAGACACACGGGAACATCCACCTCCCTGAAACACAGACAGGCCAGTGTTGGCTAACAAGATGCAGTGGATGTAGAGCAGATAAAAATTTGTAGCTTTTTGGAAAACTACCCTCTGCTTAAAGTTACTTGTATTTTAAATCCTGCTGCACATTCAGTTTTATCATCTCCTTTTTTTTTTTACCAAGTTTGCAAGTTTTTAGAATTTAGATGCTCGTGATACATGCAGTATTCTAGTTTAGCTATTAATACTGTGCATGGGTTTGCGTTCCTTCTTTTCTGCTGTTTCCCCCGCATGAGCTCTTATCTTAACCTTAAAATACTCTTTAGGTTCATATCAGCAAACAACGAAATCCTCTTGATTGCAAAGCAGCTGTTTAGGCTTGTTGCAGTTGACTTACTGACAAATAATCTACTATTTTGACAAATAATGGATCTACAACTCTTCTCAAGTACCTGTTGCTATGCGACACACCTCTTCCCTCCATGTTATTAGGATGCCTTGGCGCATGTCTAGACAGCTTGATGGATGTGGATGGCCCATTTTTCCGCACACCAAACTTACTAGATGCCTGTAGGTTTGCAGTGAATCCCTCGCTCGTCATCATGAATCATTTATCAGTTTGAGTTTGTTGGAGCCAGTCAGGACTCTGAGCATTCCTCAAACTCAAAACTGCATGAAGATCCCTGTTCAGCTTCAAAGAAAGTAGGGCAACAACTCTGTGTTGTTGTGGTGTCCTATAGTGTTTGCATAATGTCCTGGTTATATGGTGGGTGTAAAGAAATTCTTGGGACTTCAGTGTTTAAAGGTGAAAATCCATTTTTTCTATTTTGTTGCTGTTGTAGTATAAATGTAGTATAAAACAGTGACTGAAACACAACATTCTGAGACTAAATGATAACCTGCGAGCACTTCAGAGCCATTTCCAAGCACTACTATGCACCATTAAAATAACATTTTTGCTAACAGAGAAAGTTAGGAGAAACAGAAAGTCTTCGTCTCACACACTCATTAAAGTCTATGTCGGCTGTCAAGCGGTCAACTGTTTTGCTTCTCTCTGTCCATTACAGACACAGAGAGAGTCTTCTTCCTGAAAGGGTCGTGGACAGCAGAAACTCAACTGTATTTAGAGCTACAGACATTGAAAAAGCCTGTTTAGACCAGGAGTTATACAGTCACAGTGAACCCTCTTTGCAGTATTTTGACTTAAAAAATTGAAAGTTACATTCTGAGGACATGTGAGACTTTCATTAACATGCTGAAAATTTACACAGTGTAGGACCTTTAAGTCTGCTATGACTGATTTTTTGGCCACTTGGTGTCAGTAGAAACAAGTTTTTAATATTGAGCAAACAGTTGGCTATTTAGAAATGAATCTGTTATAGTGAACTTCATTCATTTGGAATTCCATTTCCGGAATTCATTTGGAAACACTAAAGAAACCAAGTTGTGTACTGAATAAACTCAAAATCCTACAAAAATAGATTTTTAAATCATATAGGGTCTCTACTTCACAGCTAAGATTGTTTTTCAAATGCAAAGATTTTCAGTTGCATATTCTTGACATGTTTGTACTTCAATCAAATCTAAACCTCAAACCTAATGTACCATAGTATGCCCCTTGCAGCCTCTAAGCCACTTGCAAAACTTTAGTAACAACAAAAATTCATTTCACATATATTTGATGTATCCCTGCATTGTTTGAACACCTCAAAGTTACTTGAAACTGCCTGATAGCATAGCAGGCTAACAGTTAGTCTCATTTGCCACATCTCAGCTTTTTCAGACCAAACAGTGTCATTATGTTGCTTCTGACCCTTTGCAGTTGTCCATGCGTGCCTCCCGAATCTGCTGCAGGATGTTTTTGGCGTTGATGAAGGAAGTGCGGTCGCTGATGTTGTAAACCACCACAAAGCCATCTGCCCAGTCCACCGGCTCCTCCAGTATACACCTGGCCTCTGAGCTCTGCCAAGAAGAGCACATGCCTTTATTTTGGAATCACAGTGACCCGATTTAATTCAATTTCCACTGTATATGTACTCTCTGATTTGTTTTTACAGTCAGGAAGAGGGAAATAGTTGAAGTCAGTGTTCTTTACACTGTGTCTTTTCATATGTTTTAACTCATAAATGTGAGCTACAGACTGTTTGATATTTTTGGCCACCGTCAGCATTCAGTTAATTAAATTAAACTGAATTTACCCCTTAGTTAAAATATCATATGAACTGATTTGACTCACTAACTCATATGATACATCTTGGAAAAAACAAAAAATGGCAAATATAAATACACAATTATGGTACATTTTGTGGCCTCGTGTATGGTGTAGTGTCTAACAGATGAATTCACAGCCCTTGAAAGTTTGATATTAAATATGAAAGCATATTTTTGTTTATGTACTTACAATTCAAAGTCAAAGGTGAGTTACGGCTTTGTAACAGTGAGTAACAATAAAAAAGAATGAAATGGATCTTATATTGGCATGTTTATTTTTACAGCATTTTGTAGAGGTGCCTTATGTTGAAAAATTACAAACACTTTGCATTTTTATTTCACTTAAAGCAGATTTTCTTTCATACACATAAGACACTGTTTCTCTGTTTTGACAGAAAAGGAGTTTTGCTGTATACTTTTGTGGTAGAGGTATGATAACATTGGCTTAGAAACCTGCATAACTCAGACATGAAGTCTGCAGTTTCCTTGGATAATTCCAACTACAAATAAACCTTGAAAAATGAATGATCATTTGACAACGACATCATCACATCTGTGGTAAACTACAAAAATTATGGCGAGATTTAGACAGAGAATCTTTTTGCTCATGATTGTGCTTTTAGCTTTAATAACTGGCAGAGTTAAAGCCATTTCAATGTGGAACTTTGATGCTAGTAACACGTGAGGAGTGAGAGCAAGGCACTGCACAAGTATCTGTGACCTTGTGGAGACACAAACAGAAGAAGGACAGGAGGCCTGGGGACATTTTCGAGCACTGTAAATCCTTTTTTCTTTATTGACTCCATAGTTTCTTTATGCAGACCAGGTCAGAAGGGCAGGATATTGACTCTGTTCCTTATGAGAGAGCGACGTTACAGTGAGTCAAACTGACAAAGACAATGAGTGCTTCTTGTTCTGCTCAGCCTAGGGGTATTCCAATAAAATACTAAGTCTGTAGTAAATGGCCTCTCAGGTCTTTAGTCTTGTTGACGGAGAAGTAAGCAGGTTATATGGCTCCTTTCTTCAAAGAGACAGCCATTGGCACACATTGCCTCAGGATACTCCAATAAACCCTTTGGATTCCCAACTTTAAGTGCTGTACGGATCACACACGTGCCGGCCTGAAGTAAATATATGACCACAGCTCACTCAAGGTCACAGGCATGTTCTGCAGCTTTATCAGCAGCCTGAAAACCAGCCAGTGTTTTTCTGTTGTTAAGTGAAACTTTTCGGCAGACATTTTATATTGATAATTATAGAAAAGGGTGAAATGAATGTTGGTTAGGTTCTGGCCTTTTACTGAGGACAATCATCAGTCAACAAGATAATGCTACGCTTTAGAATTTACTTTCTAAATGGGTGTTTTGAGTGTATTTTCTTGAAAAGACAGAACTCTCATCAGTCTCTCAGTGGCTTAATTTATTCCTTTTCAGGGCCATGCATGCATTAGGTACAGGCCAAAAAACATTATGAGTAGATTTCCAGACCACCTGATGAAATGTAGGAGGAAATCATAGAGCTCAAAATAAGCTCCTGCTGCAGCTCTGCTTTTCTAATATAGTTCTGCTAATAGTTCTGAAAACAAGTTTCAGCGGGTTAGCTTCACTGAGTGTGTTTGAGATGGGCTGTACCTGAGAGCAAGGGTCAAAAACCTCCAGGTTCAGCTGCCTGCCATCGATTGAGAGCCTTTTATGGTACAGGGAGTCTGTGATGAAGATTAAAGACAGCCATAAATATAAACAGTTTTGATTAGTATGAAAAATTAAACATCAAACTTTTTTTGTTTTGTCTGTAACGTGTACATTGTATTTGGATTTTGTATCATCTTGAATTCTAATATATTATAGATGTGAAAATATCAAATATTGTCAAGAGGGAATCCTACCAAAGGCATGGCTGTTTTAGGAGATGCATTTAATTGGCACATCTGTCCATTAAAATTGAATAAATTTAGGAGATAATTAGCTTAGCTTTCCATGGATATTAAAAACTGGAGTAAAACGTCTTAACGTCTTATTCATGGTTAACATTTAGCAAACAAGCTTAATTCAAGATAAACTACTTATTCATTATTTACTATATAAGATAAGATCAAACTTTAATAATCCCAAAAGATTTTTTTATGCCAGATACTACTCAGAAAAAACAAAATGAGATCACAAGAAATGCAGTGAACAGCAGAATAGCAATAAGATATAAGTGTGATACATTACTGAAAATAAAACAAGTGAGCTAAAATAACACTAGAATAAAGAAGTAATGCTGACAATGATATTGATAAATAACATCAAGCATGATAATATAGTGCTCACTTGAAAGTTATGCACCTCTTTAAGTGACTGAACATCAACATCCATGGTGTCTGTAGATAAACTCTGTTCACCAGAACCAAAACTATTCCCTCATCAAAACACCATTTCATCGAATCTGGAAACACTTACTGGTGTCTGAGGCATATTCACCAATGAAGCGTCTGGTCAGGAACCGCACGAGGACAGCTGGAGGAAACAGATGAAATGAAAAACAACAAAATGAATCATGGCACCATTACACTCTCATCCGTCACAGGTGGCAACAGTAGGGGGGCGGTGGGTTGGCGGGGGACCCTGCAGGCACAACACAGTGCCAACAGTCTCTGGGACCAGAGCGGTGAAACTGTAGCCTCACATGAAAGAGGCTGCATGGCTTTGCTGGAAGGTCCATGTGCATATTTGGCAAGCTGAATGGTTATATTTCCCCCTCTGCTTTGCCTCTAAAGTGCAAGCTACACATAAAACTGACTGACTGTTCCAGTTTTAGTCCCACAGACAATCAGTTTCAATTAAAGGCTGAAGTTTCAAATGTTGAACTCTGGAAGCTCGTCGCTAATGGTGGGCCTCCAGAGGGGTTCTAAAGAGGTTATAGTTAGGCTATGGGGACACACAAATATGGTTACGTGCAGCAAGTTACTCATGCATGCGTTCTAGATAAAGGCCCAGAACATTCCACGCATAGAACTTTAGCTCAACAGGAGCTCTTATAGGGCCATCTTCACACTGAGGCTGATACATCCAGGGAGCAAACTAACAGGACATGCACCGAAAGCAACAAGCAGAGCAGCAAAGAGCAGAGAGACATATTAAATTGACACAGGCATGCACATACGGCCTCCAGAGGCTACAGCATCTCCACAGTAACAGCTCTGCTTCGCTGCCAGGCAGCGAGAATGGAGACGTCCCATTGTTTTATGAAGCTTGTATACAGTACAGAGCCAGTTAGACTTAACCACCACCTCAGAGACTGAATACTGATATATGCAACAACCCTGAGCAGCAACAAGGGTCCTATAACTCCTCCATCTTATGCCTCAACAGCATTTTTTGTTACAGTTTAAAAACACGGTCTGGAATGTGTCTGACGTAGCACATTTCAGGTATGGACACATAAACCACGGAAAGCCCTGTAAAAATAAAGTGGTCAAATCTTCTGACAACTCAGGAAACAGATATTTTTCACGTCACAGTTAGGCAGGTAAACTGAGATGATCAGCTGTCATTACAACATAGCAAAGCTTGATCTTGTTCAATCCATTTGAGAAGCAGGTCTCAAAGTATTTCTACAAATGTTTGGTAAGGACTGCAATGGACTGAACAAAGTCAACAAAATATCATGTGCATGCATTTTTAGTTTGACAATGTGACCACAAATCAAAACACCTGTATTATCCCTCTGGATTTGTGCCTGCTAGTGGCTCTAAAGTGAAGACAAACAGTAATGGAGACAAGGGATAGCCTTGTCTTGTGGAGCACCAAAGCTGGAAAGGAGCTGGGATTAGGCCATTGCTTTAAAACGATGAAACAGGTTCATGGTACAGTGCTCTAATCCACTGTAAGCACCTTGGACCAAAACCGTATCTGGAAAGAATATAAAATAGGTATGGCCTCTCTCCGTGGTCAAATGCTTTCTGTGCATCCAGTGAAAGCGCCACCACTGGAATCTGGAGAGCTGCAAATATGCATATTTTGCAGAAGCTCTCTTATTTTGTTGGATAAAAGCCGCTTTAGGTTAAAACCTACTTGATCCAAATGAATACAAAAAGGTGGATACAAGGTTTTCTAAATGTGTTGCTAATGTTTTTGCCAAAACGGAAAAAAATGAAGGCTGCCTGCTTGTTGATGGCATAATTTTCTTTTGCACAACCTCCTCATATAAACAGAGTCATTACGGTGTGGTTTCATTTGAAAAACACTTTGTTTTTCAGTGATATAACCATCACTTCTGGGGACTTACCATTAAGTAAACATTTAATAGTATTCTGTTTCTGTAGCTCTCTATGGGGGCCTTGGGTGCTTTCTTGTTCCTTTAACTTTGGCACAGGAAGCAGAGACTATAATGTTTGAAGGACAAATGCTACAATAACTCATATTGTCTTGTTTGATTCTGAGCCCTGGTGTATAAGCTCTGCATTTCCCTACTTTATTATCCTTTATTACACTTTAATAAAGCACAAAAGACAAACACTGTTACTCCTTTATTGCTTTATTATGGCTCATCCAGATTCCCACAACATTAATAAAGAGCTGTTCCAACTCTTGCTGTGTTCTAATGAGTAAAAACCTTCTAATGATATCATTGACAGTGTCATGGTCACTAATGACGACACCACTGTTATCCCTTAATTGAGTGTTTCCGCACAAGCTTTCCCAGCTGACACGAAAGCACTCGAAAGACTGATTGAACAATAACTGAACTATATATTGTGTTTTCCCGTTTTCAACCTTGAAACGCGCTCTGTGACGGATGTTTTAATTTAACAAGAGAGAATCTCTGGAGGCAGGAATAATCTCATTATTTCATTTAAACCTCAGTGAATGGGACCAATAATCCATTTGTTTTTTGTCTGGTTATGTAATACAAAAACAAAACCCAGTGGAAAAAAGCCAAAGTTTCACTGCTGCTTGAAAACATGGAGTTCATGCTGCAATTACACAATGTTGGCAGAACGAGACGAACATGGAAAACCTCCCTGCTCTGATTTAGGTGTGTACAAACATTATTCTAATCCAGTAATGCTATTTTAGTCATGTAGATAAATAGACTAAATTGCCTAATTACCAAGTGAGACCAGGTACAAACAAACATGTGATTCCTTTAAATGAGGTGAATTGATTGTGTTCATAAATACTAGATTTTATTTTGATGTGACTGCCCGTGTTGGTGCATTTGCAGCCATTATGGCAAATTTGTTGACATGTCTGCAGTTCGTTAGTCAGCAAATAAGAGGTATTGTATCCGTATTATAAAATCCAAATATACAACTCAGGATTACAAATCAGTTTTTCCTTCGCAGATGCTCATAGCTACGATTTGAATCTTGTGACATGAATGCGGCATTAGCTGTTTGTTAGCTCAGTGCGCCTTCAAAATTTGTTCGCAAACTACGTTTATAGAAATATTGACATAATAAGGAAGTCATCCACTTAGTGAGGTTTTGTATTTTAAAATGGTGTTACTTTTGCTTTTATTGTTCACAAAATAAGAAGTCAGTTGTCATGTTGATAGTTTGCTAGAAATTAAAGTTAGCTAGTTAGCAAGTTAGCCTGCAAAAACTCTGAGCAACAGCCTCATTCTGACTCTCTTTGGTTTCACATTTCAGACTTTCAGTTACCAGCACGTCAACACTTTTAATCCAGACATCTATCCATAAATCTCAGCTTTCCATTGCAAGAACAGTAAAAGAAAAAACAATCAAGACATGAAGACAATGAAAATATGTAGAAAGAGATCAAACAAAGACAAACCTGTGAGTCTCACTGCAGGTAATCTGATTTTATATATTTTTAGCCCTGCTCAGGAGCGAGTGTGTTATTACATCCAAACAAAGATCTTAAATCTAATATAACTCATTTGAGTTGAAGCTGAACATGTTTACTCAATCAGCGAGTATCATTGGTCAATTTATTGATAAATTGTTCGGTAGAACATTAATCAGTTTTTGTAGCAGATAATTCTTTAAATAATTTTTCAAGGAAACACACTAATCAGTTTCTAGTGCCGGCTTCTGAGATGATGAGCAACTTTTCTCTGGTTTATGTCATTGTTAAATAAATATCTTAGGGGACAAGATCAAATACTGGAGCATTTCACCTTAAACTTGTGACTGGGAGTTGTTACTATGCTGTGACACACATCAATCAAATGATTTATCAATTAAACAAGGACAAAAATTTGCACAGTGTCAGTAAGGAAAGAACAAACTGATATATTAGAAACAGACTTTAAGTAGAGAATCACTGAAGTTTACTTTAAAGCAAATCATTTAAACGAGCAGGTTGACTGCAATGCGATGTGTCTATGTTTTCTCTTCTAACCCACTAAAATCAGAAGACATCAAATTCAGTAAATCAGGCTAATATAATAGTAGTTTAGAACACTTTTCCTTGATTAAATATAGAAAGATTTTTTTTTTTTCCGATGTGAAATAAAGACCGCTTGCAGCCACTCACCTGATTTCCCAGCCCCCTGGCTCCCCAGCAGGGCCAGCTTGATGTCGTTCATGCCTGTGCTCTGTCAGGTCCTCAGCTGGCTCTGTGGCTGTGTTGTGTCTGGTATCTGGGTTAGCGTCGGCACACTAAATACTCCTTATAGTCGAGGCAGGATGGAAGCACAGGACCGAGGGGGGAAAACAAGCGCCCCCCTCTGCTCTCTCTGTCTGAGTGCCAGCAGCTCTTTTACTCTCTCACACCTCTCCTCTCTGTTTTCTCTCTCTCTCTCCCTGTTTTCCCCTCAGTCTATCTGTGCTCCTTCTTTCTTTGCTCTCCTGCTCCTATATATCTCTTTTCTGTCTCTGCCCCCTCCTACACAGAGGTCACTCAAAGGTCAGGCCTGACTAAGTCTATTGTGCTGGTTTTACTCTTAACACTGTAACTGTAGTCCTGCTGCCATCTATGGACATTTGTGTTATTCTTCAAAGACTGAAAATATGGAAGCCCATTCCTGCCGGGCAAAGAGGAAATAATGAATGTGTGGAAGTATAAAATGACAAGAAGCTATCACATTACAGCGTCCCTGTGTCCAAGACGTTATATGCATTTGATTTGCAACAGTAAATATGTTTTTGACAGAAACTTAATGCTACCGAAATGATGTTTTTTTTTCCAGTATAATGAAGTCATATCCTCCAGTTCACAAAGTTTTAAAAAAGATTGTATCATTAAACGTCATCCGTTCTCCCTGTTCAAGCAATAACTAATTCCATCTGTATTAGCTGAAGCATATAAACATTTTTTATAATAGTAATCATAAGGGTCGTGCAAGTCAAATCAACAACACAAACTGTAAATCTAAACTACAACATGGCACAAGCCAAATGAACAGATACTGTGAGAAAATCTAACAAGATTTATAACTGACAATTTAATAGCCAACGACAAAATATCTCTTTTATTGTCAAACAAATTTTGATAGAAAACGTTTAAAAAAAAAGAAAATACAAATGTATTTTTAAAAATTCTATACAAATATTCTAATGAAATATTTATATATATATATATTTGCCTCGCAGCAAGAAGGTTGCTGGTTCGCGTCCCGGTGGGGGCACCGGGATCTTTCTGTGTGGAGTTTGCATGTTCTCCCCGTGCAGCATGGGTTCTCTCCGGGTTCTCTGGCTTCCTCCCACAAGGTCCAAAAACGTGCTGAGGTTAATTGATGATTCTAAATTGTCCGTAGGTGTGAATGTGAGTGTGCTTGGTTGTCTGTCTCTAAGTGTAGCCCTGCGATAGACTGGTGACCTGTCCAGGGTGTCTCCTGCCCCCCCTCTTCAGTGTCTTCAATGATGACATAATTTATTTGGTGATGTTACAGCATCTATGGTTCAAAATGCTGCCATACTTGTCATGACATAATTTCTGCTTTTGTTTTTGTATTTTATGGTTCTGATGGTGGCAAAAACCTGCATTATCCACAGTCAGGGACAGGTCAGTCAGTTTTCAGGAAAAGATCATGTTCTTGTTTAAAAAGTAAAGAAGTCTTTAGTGTTTTTTATCACTTTTCATCATTTGTGTTTTCAGGCAGAAATGAGCTTCCACATTGTGGCTTTTTTTTTTTTTTTTTTTAAACAACAACAGCAACAAAAACACTGTATTTTTGTTTTCCTCAGATGTACTGAAGTTATTTTAATCTTATTGTGATTTGATCTGGCAACATTCCGCTGACTCCAGCATCAATAAAATTTTGGCTTCAAGGCAGGGATGTGATGGGGAAAGAATTAGATGACTGGTTACATACTTTATCAACTATACCGTCACAGCTCTCCAGACTGAAGCAATACAGTAAAGTTGAGGGTTTGAGTGCAGCGTAAAAGCAAAAACCATCAGAGAGTCAGCAATAAAAAAAATGATTACTGCATCAGTCATACTTCTGACATCAAATGGAATCGTTTCAGACAAGCAATCCATCTCCTTCAGCTTCAGCCTCCATACAAAATGTGACACTTACGGCCAATAAATCATCCTGCAGTAGCTTCGATTTCACAGACACTGACATCAGTCAGAAAAATAAATATTCTTTTGAATTAAGCCACATTTTTGTCAACCGTGACTTTCGTGCAGGTTCGTTGAGCATTTTAGACCCATTTCCAAACTGGATTCATTTGATCTTGTATCTGTTTGCCTGCAAAGTTAAGATTAATAAATAAAGAAAAAAATATGAATTTCATGCATGACTTTAGAGAGTCTTGTGTTTTCAGCGCTCTACAACAATAATTACAACACTGTTATAAGCCATATCTTCGTGTATTTACCAAGCTTTTTTACAATTATGATGGTTGAACTAAAGATATCAAAATTCTCACATCTGGATTCTGTGAAACGTTATAAATGTAAACAGAGCTTTTACAGTTGGAAAATCAAAGCTTCCACATATTAGTCAGGGCATCAAGAACTCTGTCAATCAATTTTAAAGAGAAGAATGTTTCCACATTCCCATTTTTGGAGTTGAGAGTACAGTCCTTTTGTTGACTTGAGGATCATAGATTTGAACCTTTAATGCCATAAAACATGAGCCATAACAATGAAATGAAAACAAACTGACCACATTATGTACGTCCAAATCCATTCATAATGCACGGCATGTGGACCGAATGTGTTTCTGAAATGTTAACCAAATGTTTACCTCTTTCCATTCCCTGATGTTTAGATATCATATACCCTGAAAATCAGCTTGCATGAGGCAAAATAATTGGAACCAGAACACTTTATGCTTTGAGAGTTCAGATGAGGACTGAAATCACAAACACGTCACTTTACATTCTTTGACTCTCTTATCAGAACAAAGGGAAACGCTGAAAAATGGGGAGATTATTATTGCATATTGTGAAAGTATGTTAACCCCAATCATGCCTAATCCGAAAACCATTAAAATAGAAATTCTAATCAGTCTTGAATACTGAAACGCTATCAGCCACATGCGCTTTGGAACACAAGTAGAGCATTCTCCATCAGTGCAAGCATTTAAATAAAGTCACATTTCCTCTCATGCTTCAGATTGTCAGTGGACATTCCTGCTGTAATCAGATAGAATCTATTTCCTCTGTTTTCGCTTCCAAGGTGAGCACGCAGGCCCAGCCATCCAGAGCAGCTTTTAATCAGGCAGAGAGGGAGAAACCAGCTCTTCTGTGCTGATCAACACGTGGCTGGAGAGAGGCTTTCACATGGGACAACGTCATGTGCCCACAAAACTGCACATACCAAGAAACACATTATTCTTACTAGCTGCCTACACACACACACACACACACACACACACACAGAGGAACCTCCAACAAATCAACATCAAAGGGCGCCACAGCACCTCAATAGCATCATTACATAATGTCTGAGCACCAGAAACCTGTCTGGAAGGTGTCTGTTTATTCTGTGAAATAAGATTTTCTGCCATGTGTGACATGAGAAAAATGATGTTGGACTGAAGTTTGTCATTTGACTGCTTTTAAACTAAACGGTTATTGAATGTCATTGCATGTTGCATATAGGCAGCCTGATGTTTTTTTTCAGAAGTGCTGGAAAATCGTCAGCCTGTTGTAGTTACAGATGACTGATGTTTTGTGTAGTTTGATTTTAGCTTATTTTAGTTTTATGTATCTTTGCTTAGTTTAGACTTTTCCTTGTCTTTGACCTGCTAACTTAGTGATGTACTAAAATACAAAATAAATGGCTCAAAAAATGCTCAGTTTGTAAATAACTAAAAACTAATTGTTAATTCAAACTGGATTAGGTGTGTTTAAGTCAAGTCCCCAATATTTATATAGCACCCTTCAGTTTTTATTCCATTGATTTAAGTAGGATTTAAAAACCCTACAAAATGGCACTAAATACAGTTCTACCTGTCGATAATGACCCTACAGTATTATTAACTATGGAGGTTTACCTGACTAAAGCTGAAGATAAGTACCTGTAACATTAAACCTGGAAAGCCCAATGATTTCAACAATTCCTTTAGAGAAAGCATACTTGCAGCAGTGGACAGGAAAGACTCCCTTTAGAAGAGACCTCCAGCAGAACAAAGCTCAGAGCTAGGGAGGGCAGCATCAGGTTGGGTTGAGGTTGAAGACAAAAGAGAAAAGGATGATAGAGATTAACAGAAAACAAACAAGAGAACATAAATGTTGGACAGGTTGGAAGAACAAGTGGCTTACAGAGAGTTACAGTAGTCCAGCAGTGAGATAATAAATGCATGGATGACTGTTTCCAGGCCCTCATGAGACAGAATTGGTTTCAGTTTGGTGATGGTTCTAGCTGACAAAAATGCCCCTCACAACACTGCTCACCTGTTTAATCCAGTATGTCTATGTATGTATATATAATTACTTAATTTTCACTTACTTTATCAATCTTAGCTGTGTAGGTCAACTGGCATAGCTTGAAAGAAGCTATAAAAATAAAAATAATAAAACTGTTTAGTATGTTAAAAAAAAAAAAACACTTGAAAGTTGGATGAAATATGCCGTCACATAGCTTAGCCGTAGCATAATTTACCTTGATTTGACTTATTACTGACTTAGTGATGTTATAAAAACAAAAAGCTAACTTTAGTTAACTAACTAACTTAATAAGAGACATGAAGTAAAGCACGTTTATTGGAGCGAGGTAGACATTTTAGCTTTGCGTTGTTTAGCGTAGTTTATTTTAACAATATACTTTAGTAAAGCAAAATAGTATTCCAAAGCTTCTTGTTGTGTAATGACAACCAACGTAAATTGCGTGCCTCGTCCATTAACTATAGTTTAACCATCTTGACTTTTGAGGTTGTTTAGCCTTAGCTTGGCTAAATGCACTGCAATTGAATTTGACTTATCCTACAGACCCAGTGATGATTTCAGAACAATAAAAAGGAAATGCTCACTGAGTGTTAGTTTAATGCTGGCTGTAGATTTCCCTGGTATTATGTTAGTTTAGTTTGACATCAGTGTTATTAGACACTTACAACACAACATGCTGCAACAGATTTAGTCAATGTACACACAGTCTAACTTAACCTGGCCTTGTAACTGTAAATAATTA